CTTATCCATCAAAGTGTTCTGAAATTACTTATCCATCAAAGTGTTCTGAAATTACTTATCCATCATAGTACTCAAAAAGTACATAACGGTTTTTGGAGATTGTTCATAATACCATTAAGGGCTTTTTTAAGGCTTATTTTTGTGAGTAATAAACAAAATCATCATAACTAATTATGCCAAAAATATTACAAACTTGTATAAAATAAATACTTTTAACAACATTCAAATCGAAATACCATGCTAATAATACTATGACTATGTAAAAATAAACTTAATTGTGCAATTCAATGGCGATTTGATCGAGTAACTGATCCAAATACTTCACACAATTGATTAGCACTATCAACTAAAAACCTAACAGTGACTGGTTTTTTGCAAGCTTACTAACTGACTAACCCAACAGTATTTATATCTGATGCCTCACTTCTAGATATTTGTTAAAGTTACTAGATTATTATAGACCAAGTTTATAAACTTTACAATAATAATGCCATGCACCCTCTAGCTAAGATCTAAATCAAATATAACTATTCTGCTTGCCCTCTAATGAGTAAGGATTATTTGATTATAATGATTCTTAAAGCATTGTGTTATCCACACTATATACTCTACATTTTGTACTTAAATTGTGATAATTACTGTTTACCCTTTGACAGTGAGTATTTAAAATTAAAGCTGAAGTTCAAATAACTTCTGTCAATGTAAACAAGCACTCTGCAATTCTCTATTTTTTTCAAAACATATCCTTGTTGGTTTTTTCAGTAAAAGAGAAAAATAAAGATTTTTTAATCTTTTCGTATTGGAACTGAAATAGGATTGGATAATTTTATATCAAAGTTATAGAAACTACAAAGTGTTCCAAGTATAAATTTACACATTTTGAGCTTTGGTGTTACAAAAGGTCTTCTGTATTTTCTGAGATTTTACTATTAATATCAATGTGAAAAAAATCCCCAGATATATACTCCTTACAGCAATAAAGTTAGAAAAAAAAAACCTTTACTTTCCAGATAATAATAAAAAACTTTTTATTTCAGCCAATGTTTTGCCATTGTAGCAAAACCTTGTCTCAAATAAAGTTTTTTTGGCTAATTTTATTACCAAAATGTCTTAGTCTCTCCAGTATGCACTAGAAATTCTGAAAAACAACAAAATATCGTATTCCTTATATTGAGTAATTCACTGTATTATAATTCAAGTGAAATAAGATGTACAAAAATGAAATACAATCAATAATTTGTGTAGAATGTTAATTGCCTCTGTATTGTTCATGTTTGTGGCAACTAGGACTAGCTTTATCAGGTAGAAAAAATCAATAAAAGTTTTTATATTAATCATAAATACAGATACAAAACAAGCTTCTACAAAATTAAAAACTAGACCTAAAAAAATATTTTATATCTTTGTAGCTCAAATAAAGATGGAAAAAATCTTCTAAATTCAAATAGTTGAAAGTAAGACACAGATAGCCCTACTAAAGTAGAAGTTTACAACAAGTTGCAACATATATATATATATGTTTATTGATGATAAACAATGATATTTACAAATTTTACTAATAGCAACAAAATACTTGAAACCAGCCCTGGTTACAACCTCTACTGGCTAACTACTTTTTTAAGTATTGTCACATACTGTGAACCTTGTCTTTTATAAACTATGGTATGTTTGAGTTGAAATATAGAAACTGATAATTTCAACAAAACAAAAATTCATACAGATACGATACCTTTGTTGCTTCTACAGACAGTGGAAAATGAGATTCCATACACTTCCCATCCTGTTTCACACACTGTGACTGTGGAATGGTATAGTCTATTTCCCACTCTTCCAGAGGTATGGCCACAATACTGTCAATTGCAATGTTTGACCCATCATTCCTATCCATCTCTAATGTAACACTGGCATAGTTTGAGTCAAAGTCAAACACTGCAAGTTTTCCCATACGGTCAATAACCGCTTGTCTACAAACAAATGAATATGAACAATCGTACAGAATCGCTCGTCCTTTATCCATCTGATTTTCCGTTGCCACATCAACCATCAAATTTGTTGTCTCTCCGCCTTCGGGGGTGTGATACAAGATTACTAAAATGTGTCGGCCAGGTCTATTGATTTGCAAGTCGAGCTTCAGAGACATTTGATCTTTATTTAGCCATGCCATAGGACCAGTTCCAAGCTCCTGTCAAGATGAATAAGTGGATAACGACTATATGATGTAAACTTCAGTAACTTCTAAAAAAAAATTTAAGTGCAAATATTTCTAGTACACACACAAAAATGTATATTTCCATACAAAGCTTATTACAAGTATTTTCATGAAATCCCACATATACACATATACTCTCATAAAACAGTTTATACTTAAATTATGCTATGATACACAGATAATAACTACTTAAGTGTATCTCATTACACTCTGTTTATAACTGAAGTTATCTCATGATACACAGATTATACATAAACGTGTCCAATGTAATCATTCATTAAAATATGACGATTTACACCATATAAATGAACGCTTACACACAATTAGATAAAACTGACTCTGACTGAGAAAGATATACCAGATACTAGACACAAACGTATAGGGGAAATGTTGTAAAACTAACAGTAAGAACAGCCTCTTCGGTAAACATCTTAGCTTTAGTTCTCTGGTCTCCCACTGCAACATAAGCAGCCTCTCCCTTCACAATGTCACTCTTTTCAGTCAGTCCAGGATATCGGAAATGACGACAAAGCCCTGAGGTGGAGCCAATCTTACAGGGAGAGTTCACTTCTTCTTGGAGCAGTGTTGCTTCAAAGTATGCTTGAGGTAGTAGTACTAAATAATCCTAGTAATGAAAAATGTATTCTTAATTTGGTGCAGAATAAGTTTAAATAGAAAAACAAAAAAGAAAGTGTGGTTAATAAATACAACTGTACTGTTTTATCACAGTTTTCACTCTGGCAGAACTGTCGAGTGTGGTTAATAAATACAAGTGTACTGTTTTATCACAGTTTTCACTCTGGCAGAACTGTCGAGTGTGGTTAATAAATACAAGTGTACTGTTTATCACAGTTTTCACTCTGGCAGAACTGTCGAGTGTGGTTAATAAATACAAGTGTACTGTTTTATCACAGTTTTCACTCTGGCAGAACTATCGAGTGTGGTTAATAAATACAAGTGTACTATTTTATCACAGTTTTCATTTTTGTAAAACTATTAAGTGTGAATAATAAACATAAGTTTGATGTTGTACCAGGGTGAATACTGTTATACAGTCTCTTGATAAAGGTGTATAAAAAACAATGAGCATTAAGACATGAAATAATGTTGAAGCATGTTCATACATAACCAAGTGACAATACATTAAAACAAAAAGCACAGAGAAGAAAACTTAATACTTAATATGCTATTCATTGGTATTATAGAATACAAAAACTAAATGATAATATTTTCTAACTTGTAGCTAACTAAATGTGTAATCAAAACTATA